CTGAGCGCCCGGCCGCCGTGTCTCGCTCTCTTTTTGGATTGATTGCCTCGGTGGAAAAGCTATTTTCATCAACGCTAATGAACAATACGAATGGGTTTTCCGCTCGGCAAAAGCTTTTACGACGAATGAGATCTTCCTCTCGCCGGTGGCGGTGGCGGGTAGTCGGTCGGACGAAAGCGGCGGGGACGACGTGGACCGGAGGGGCAAAACGTGTGCCGGCTAATTGCGAATTGGACGCGCGAGCGGGACAGCATAAATTTGATCAAACTGACGCTTTTAGTGGGATTACCAATAATCCCGTACAATATTCATTGTTCTACTACCACTATAATACACTCGCGTGTATATCTATACTGTCCTTCCATACCGGCTCGCCGTCAGTCGGTACCGCAGCCGCGGCGCCTCGAAACACATTTATGAACGTTTTAAGACCGTTCTTTTATTTCTAATTACCGTTAGTGTTTTGACTAATTTCGAATTGAATGAATTAACCTTCCCGCAACCGAGTGACGGAATAAAAATAAAAGCGCTTCCATCCGGATTTTTAACCGCTCGCGGCACATTGAATTAATAATAACGTGGCGAACCACTTACACAAATTGCGACTACGGTTTGTTTCCGTCCCCGACGCGTATCCATCTCTGCCTACCACGGTTGGCAAGTCTCACTTGTATGCAGCGATCAATCATCTGTATTATTCATTACACATTAGTATCGGACAAAATCAGACATCGACGCTGTTCGAAATTCGAATCCGCCACAAACCAGACTAGACTAGATTATGCATCACTTAGTCTAGATTGCAACGATGGTCAAGTGTGGTTTCTATGTAGACCTATGGAGCTTAGACTTGGCTTGATTGAAATTTAGGTGTTCATCATTGAACGTTAGACGGTGTCTACAAATATTTGTGTTTTAATGTTTGCAAAACGGCCATTCCCGGTTGCGATATCAAGATTTGTATCTGGTCACTCTCCGACGACCGCGTGAAACTGACCCGAGAGTATTCGTTTTCGAAATGTTGGTAGAAATATTGAGCGACACGTCGATTGACGGATGCCGACGGGTGTTTGTGTACGTTATTTGTCGCTGTACAATATGTAATGTAAAATTCATAAACAAAATAATGAAAAATGAATTATCCCGTTGGGAAACTAAAGGCGGGGAGGATGCGAGGGGTAGAAAATCCAATCCCATTACTTATTACTATTATTATTATTTTTTTTAAAATTATAATCGAGGAACCCGGCGAACCCCGAACACCTAACAGCGCGACCATGTAATGTTTAATTATAAACATTTCATTAACTTTTAAAAACCTAATGGCTTTTTTCGAATTGTTCGAGCACAACAGCCCCGTCAATGGTGTTTTCGTCAAAATTATTATTACTGCGTGTACGGCTTCAGGGAATGTTTGTTTTTTTTTTTCATTCCCTCACGCCGTCTATCCGTCTCACTCTCTGGTATTCATTAAACGGATGATACGTCAATTTCACCCCTGTTCCGCCGTCGCGGGTTTTGGTAATTTCCCAAATTAAAACAGCCACCTACATAATGTATAATTTTAATAATAATACCTTTTGGGGGGTACCGCACCGAAACGGAAACGTTATGTGTGTATTATATATATATATATATATATATATATATATATATATACATTTCTTTTTTTTTTCATACACAAACGTGTTACATAGCAGTAATTTTCCATTAGTCGTTCGGTGATTTATTATCGTGTTATGCGCGTGTGTGTGATTAAAATAATACTCGATGATTTTTAACGCGGTAATTACGAACCATTTGCCGCACTGTGTGTGGGTAATTTGATTTTGTACATATTATGTATATGCACGCCCACACGCGGTAAACACGACACAGGCGCTAGGTGTTAATTGAAACGTCTGATTTTTCTATGTTTTAACAATGACCGTTTGTAGGTCTGTCTAACTATAAGTGTGGTATTTATGATTTACTAAAAATATCCCAGAGGCTTCGGCACCAGAGGTGGACTTCTGCTTTTATGGTATATTCAATTTTGTTTTCCATTTTCTTTGTTACATTGACTCTGACCCGGAGCCTATTGTGTGCACTGTGCATCCCTGCGTGCCGGTTGAAAAAAAAAATGAACCCATTAGACTAATTTAGAATACGACCCGGAAGTTAATGACTAAGCGTATACATTTTTATTATTACTTTTTCCTTTTATTATTTCACCGGATTAATGAATATATTGTAAGCCAAAAAAAACGTAGCATTCATTTATCACGGGATTAAGCCTTAAACGCGGTTGTTGTTTGAACACAATAATAATTATTGTAAACGTATGCGTCGCCTTGTGCCGGATCAAATGCGTCCCCGTTAATATTATGCACACTTTGTTATAATGGGATTTTTCTGTTTGTTTTTAATCTCGTAATTGAACTGGCACGTGATGAGCTCTTCGGTACTCGGTAGTAGCTGCATTTACGAGGATGATCCGAGAAAATATTATAAATTGTATATAATATATATTTTGTTTTATACTATATTGAACCCCGGAACGACCATAAACAAAAACACAAGCCAGTTAAACCGCAAAGCAAGCGGAAATCACACAATTTATTCTTTTATAAAACAAAACTTGGTACTACTAATTCAATTCATGGACTACACAATGTTTGTTACACCCAACGCGTTTTCGAAGACATCTGCGTTCATTTGCGTGTTGCATCATTTCATAATTGTGCAACGGTTTTAATGTTTGTCATTTCTTGATTCATTCTAATGCAATTTTTTAAATATTAAACCACTTAATTCAAAACATACGTAAATTTATTCAGTTGTCCAACTTTTATACAGACATAGCATTTTTTAAAACAGTGTATCTAAAAAGGTTATGCTAAATATTATGCGTGTTTTTAAGCTGGTTTCTTAAAAATAATGTTCTTTTTCTACATTGTTCCAAATATGTTTGCACTAATAATTTCGCTTTAGAGTGAGCTACTAGCTATTGCTTGTGAACGTTAGGAGACAAATTATTGAAGTATGCACTATGAGCAATTTTGAATCTGCTAAGATTAAGCGTGACTGGGATTATATATATTTTAGTGTAATCAAAGATAAAATAAAGAATTAATAATGCTACTCTGAAGAACTACAACAAACATTTTGTTCTAATGCGGCTTACAACAAAATTCCATGCTTTCAAACTAAATGAACTCTTAGGACAAATTTTAAAACAGCTTAGTGCTAACTGACATGAAAGACAAGATCGTTGTTATGTTGTGAACGTCAAAATTCAAGTTTTTTACAACAAAATTGCTAACATACTACGTATTAAAATAGAATATAGCGTCCTCCGTCGTTAAATATAATTTACTTAACTAATTGAATCGTAATCGCAGTTAATTTTCCGGCAACGGTTTACAGAAGTGACGTTTGAAGTCGGTAGTTTTGGGTTTTTACACAGAAAAAAATCGAAATTGATGATATTTCGTCGGTGCTTCTGTACAATTACAATCAAGACAAACCGCTGTAATTGCATCGAGGCAACCAAAAAAAAAAATATATATATATATATATATACACATCTAGCAGAAATGCCCGTGGAATACTCACACGGGTAGCACGTGCGACGTTTAAGGGGATGATTGCGCAGTGTCAGAGGGTACAGGGGGGAGCCCATTTCGTGTATATATTCATGTACACATTTATAAATTCTTGGCTGATTGAGGCGAAACGTCCGGGGGAAAAACGCGTTGCTCAAAGGACGACCTAATTGTGACGATTGCCTATCGCCGCCGACAATGAACCATAATGAAACGATTGCCCTTCGTTTCCGCCCTGGAAAAGGGACTGCTGATTGAGTTCAGAAGACCGTGGATAAAACATCAGCTGCAGCGGCGGGCACTCTACGCTGTCGTTCCTCTTGCTCGACCCCACCGGCAACTTTGTATACCTATGTATGCTGGATTTCGATCTTTCCACGGTCACCCATCTGAATTATTATTATTATTACTATATTGTCGTCGTCGTCGTTGTCGTAGCTGATGTAGTTGTCATTACATATCGTCGTACGCGCGCACATACACACATAATAGATAATATATAAGCGCAGAGAGTAATACACGTTTCAAACGCAGACTTTTCTATAAAAATAATAATATAATGGAGACCGAGTATAATATATCGAGGGGGTATAGGCCCCTTCGGGGCGACCGTGCCAAACAGACCGTGAAACGGCTAGGCTTTTCCTTCGCTGTTGTTATTATTATATTTATGTATAATAATATTATACTATTATTATTATTATTATAAGAAAAACATTTTTAAAAAATTATTATTTTTCTCTACCGCGTATACCGTTTTCTTTTTTTTAAAAAGAAGAAACTTTTTTATTTATTTTTTTTTTTTTCGAGCTTTTCTGCTGATAACTCCGTGTATAGAGCACGCGCATACGTGATTATAATGCGGTTAGGTTTTGTGTAAAGGCAAATGAAGCAAACGAGTGTTCGGTTCGCAATCAGCGACGGGGCGGCAGGGAAAAGGCCGAGGAAACGGTACTGCCGTCGTCGCCTGCCGACGGTGATGGTGAATTGGAGTTGATTGAGTGTACCATCGAGACGTGCCTTTTTGTTGAAATAAAATGCGTTCATTATACATTGTACGAACATATACACACACACGCACACACACACACACAAACACACAACACTACATGTACGAATGGGTAGGAAGAAAATAGCCGTGTGCCAAAGGTGTACACGAAGAAAATAATATCGGTCTCGGCTCCCTCGTACAGGTGGACAATTTAACCTTAAAACGAGTTGTGCATAAGAAATCGCCGTGGAAACTTTTACTTTTGTATATTATTATTTCTTTGCCTCCGGTCGAATTTGATCGTTATGCACCAGAGCAGGGAAGCGGACGAAGTTCGACCGTGATTATCGTAGCTTTCGGCACGTACACCCCCATCGTCGAAAAAAGTAATAATAATTTTCTAATAATAATATTTTTCGCAGATGGCAACGTCTCAACACGGACATGCCCGGCGATGGTTTTCTTCGTAAAAACAGCGCCTTCGTCATCGTCGTCATAGACTAACCGGATACGCATCCATGACCATGTTAAACACTGTGGAAAACGGTGAGTTGCATCCCAAAGAGACCAGATCATATTGTAACTTAACCCTATCATGGTGAACAGCTTACAAGTTTCCGTGGTTTGAAATTCTATCGCTATTAAAATAAATACATTTTTCCATTATCACCGCTAAGATAATGTGGAGTTTTCGTTATCATAAGCCGGGTCCACACTAAGGTAACATTCATTAGTTGTCACATGTTTCGATTTTTATCAAAATATGGAAACAACATACTGCAACACGGTAATGTTGGTCTATGTTACCTTAGTGTGGACCAGGCTAAGGAAATATTACTACCTTACTTTTCCGAATGTACATACTTGGATATTTCCTAAAAATGGACGTTTGCGTTGTGTGGTGTAGCCTATTGACTTATTATTTAATGCCGAGAAGATAACGGGAACTTTACATTAGGTTCTCTGAGCTTTTAGGGCTCATAATTTCTCCCATGTTCGAGGTAAATTAGCATTATTTATTAGTCTGTCACTCTCGTCCGAAGACATATCGGCTCATGGTCGTCTCGTAGAGAGAAACAATACCAAAATCCGTGGAACTTAACCATTACGTTGTAATGTAAAATTATATAATATTTTTGACTTCCACAAATAGTCACACTCTAACCGCCCCCTCCCCCCACACTAACCCACACACACTTCTCCTGTTATGTGCGATGTATCGATAAAATATATTTTTATACACGTTGTTACACATATCGAACAAATAACATACAAGTTGTATGATAAAACTTGGACGTATGCGGTGTGGAAAGCGCGAGTTAATAGGTCTGTGCTCTCACCATAATGTATGGATAATTAACAAGAACGATAACTAATGATAAGTTTTACGAAACCATTGATTTATATAGACCTAGATGTAGGTATTCATTTATTAATAGTTACATATGTTTATTCAATTAACAGTATGTAATTATTATGTATTATTAAAATCATTTGCTCTAAAGAAACCACTAGATACCTTTGGATAAAGGTTGGTTTGGATGGGTTATACGTACAATGATCATTCATCAAAAGGCGCGAATATTCCAATTATTTTAAATGGGTCTGATTGTCTGAATCTGCTAATGATAAACCAACGAGAAAAATCGCTGTAATAACGTTTAACTTGGTTGCTAGAATTTCGAAGATGTCTTAGGCGATGGGAGGGGTCAAACGGTTTGACCCAAACCTAATGTCTAAACCTCGGATTGGGCCCTTGAGTTGGCGCCGTTCATCCATCGACAGTAATTCCTCAACAGTGTTGCTGACGGTCCGCACTACATGAAAACGGACGAACGCGTTAAAAACATAATGCAATATTATAAAGAATACGGAAACGATTTTCCGTTCCTTAATGCATCGACTGTGTATATAAATATATAAATCGCACGAGAAAACATGTGGAAACGAAAACCGACGGCCGTTTCGGCCCTGGGGAGGCGCGAACGAAGACGGGGCCCCGGATGGAGCCATTTTCCAAATTGAATATGTGCAGGTATAACAATACACAACCCTTTGTTTCCCGAAAAGAATTCCCGATCGGATGGGCCAGCAAAGTTTTCCCATCTCGTCGCGCCGCCCTCCGCCATATATTCTGCCGCCAATTTATACTACCTACGGGATTCGGTAGCGTCCTACGGTGTACATACATATTTACTTAATACACACCGAATTATATTGTATATATATATATAATATTTATGTATATATAAATTGTATACTATACACGGTGCACACAGAGACTCGAATATGGGCAAACGCAGCGCGTGTGTACATATTATTATTATTATATACGACGCGAGCGCGCCGACAACGGGAAAGGGTGTATTAGAAAAATGTCTCTCATCTGTCAAAACCAAAAGTCCTATAAATATATATATATATATGTATATATAATAATGCATCCTTAAACTGGGCAACGACGAATATTGAAAATCCTTCAATATTAAATTGGCTTTATGGGTACGGCGCGACAGAGAGCGGAGACGGCCGTTATCCGCGTCCTTTGCGTTTAATATGCTCCCGTTTCTCTTGCACAGTATATATGTTGTTTTATAAACGTTTGTTTGTGTATGTGTGTTTTTCTTCTGTTCCTTAGGGTCTCCGGAAATCGCGGCCGCTGAGGTCCGGCGGAACGTGAATTATTTCCCACGCGTTGCAAACGGCCGAGCCAACAATTTATTTCCAATATACTTTATTATTATTACCATTTTTTTTTTTTTAATAATATCCAAAAGAAAAAATACGTTCCCTTTGTGTTTTATTAAATAGGGAAGGGGAAAGGACAAAGAATGCGGACGATCAAATTTCAATAATAAATATAAGAACTCGGTGGCTCCAGTGGAATACAGAATTTTGATACATATTAAATAGACCTAGCAAATTGGACTATACGAGCACCGGTATTATTTCTTCATCTCCCTCGTCAGTGTTATATACGCGCTTTCAATACATATGCTTGCGTTTCCTAATATATTGTGACAGGCACTGAGGTACCCTACATAATACAATGTATTGTATTATCATGTTTCTGCGGGTGTGCGTTTAGGTGAGCAACAGTTATTAAATCTTATTTTTAAGTCCGTTAAAATGAATAATCTTCATAGCTATTATTATCTGCAATACCTAATAAAGATTTAATTTTTGTACCATTTCCACCTGTTTCCTATATAATGGGCATTTACTCTTTTCCAAAGAGGGTCAACAGCAATTCATTTCATTGATATTGATAATAATATAAAATTGTTTTGATCAATTAACCTTGAAATTCGTGAAAAAAAATTTAATGTTTGCTCAATGTAAATGGAACAAAAAAAAACAATTTGTCCAATTTCAAATACACTGATGTAACCTAACTCTTATAAAACTTAATTGCGAGGAACTTTTACCATTAACAAACTATTGATCATTACAATTATGGATACTTATACATAGTTTTGGGAACGCTGAATGAAAGTGATTTACGCGAAACAAATAAACTAAACCCAATTAAAATATTATTATACTTCTTCCTGGTGACTGGTAACAAAAAAAAAAAATGTAGAACTTATTTTATAATGAAACTCTACTCAAAATGTCTGTAAATCTGCCAAAAAGTGATTAATTAAATATAACTTGACCGTTGCTCTAGCATTTAGTGAATCAACTCAAATATTTAGGGGAGGTACAAGAAAATACCCATTTTCGGATGCGAATAACCAAAAATCGGACCCTACGTTAAAGTGTCTTTGTGAAAGGGTACTAATATATATATATATATATATATATATATGATATATGCTGCGTTGTGCACCATTGTTAATAAATATTCTACACTTAGTCTGAGCTTAGTAGATACCTTTAATATTATAGTGTTAGTGTAGTTTTAAAGTCGAATTTCATTTTGCAAGTATATACGCCTTGGTCCGTGACTCGCCCTTTGAACTATAATATAACATGGCCTTATATAATATAACAAACTCTGTATTATTCGTATGTATTTGGATAGTCCCCATTGACCGAATATTGTCGGCATGCCTCGCGTACCTCAGATCAAAAGTGAATGGTCGCATTTCGGACTTTGTTTTAAAAAAAAATACACACACGTCTAAGGTAGAAGTCTGTTTATGATGGGACTCATATTGACGGCCCAAAGGGGTGCCCAAAAAGGGCGTTTAAAAACCAACCAAAGCCGAAACGCTTAACGGAAACAATTAAAGTTTTAAAACATCAAACAGTCGTGCGCCGCCAAAATTACCCGTACAAACACGATAAACCCTCGGGGTACATAATATATATAAGACCATATTTGCTCAAGTTTTGTTACAAGCTGCCCGTTGATGGCCGTGTATAAGTTTCGAGTACACACGATCGACCCCGTCGCCGAAGATAAAAAGATATTTGTTCAGGATTACGTTTTATCTTGTATACTTGGAGTTAGCGGAAACGGATTGTAGCCGGCGGCGGGGCGTGAACTTCTTAATATCGTACATGTTTTAGTACATTCGGTTTGTGCGTTAACAGTGTAAGTAAAAGTTAATATAAACGGCAGACCGGGGGATTATCAACTTTTTAATTAATGTTAAACGTTGATCCTGTGTCGCGTCGTCGTGCGAGATCAAAGAAACCCGTACCTACGATGCGGTTAATATATTTTGGAGTAAACGGTATAATAAAATGTCCTTGGCAAAAAAAATCTCCTACACATAACAACCATCTAGTTACAACGGCCCGTTGAAAGTGTAAATAAGATTGCAGGTTCGGTATGACAAAATTATGAGCACGACGAGGTGGTCTAGGAAGGAAAACTCGAATAATATAATAAAATATCATATTTGCGGTCGGCAAAAACGACGGAGTGGTATTTTCGCAAAACCGTTTCAATTTTCTCTGCCGAGGAAATAAATCGATCCGCACCGCTAAGTTAATAATATTCCGGCAACAACACGCGACCATATATTTATATATATAGAAAACTGGTAATGCTATTGCGTTATTACGGCCTACGGGCGCGACGTTTAAATCGATGCGCGAGCATTAGAAGGCAATAAGCGGAATTGAACACACATACAGCTTCTTCTTCTTCTTCTTCTCCTCCTCCTCGCCGGACCCTTCTTATAATATATCGAATTATCCTTAGGGAGATGACCGTTTGCCAAACTTCTATCCGTACCAGCTCGCTTGTATAATATATATATATATATGTTTTTTGCGTTTGTTTTATTTTTGAAAAATCGAGTTTTTAGAAAGCAAATGGCACCCCTGGGGATTTGCCAACGCTATTCTGATAGTGTAACGCGCGGATTACCGCGTCAATGGGAGTCGCGTCTTCCCTCCACGAAAACACAGACACACCTTCAGAATGATAAACAACCGCGAACGGCTATACTACACGGCTTTCGTCTAGCGCAAACCGCCAAACACCTCTATTAACCGTGTGCGCCTCCTCCCCTCCGTTTGCACACATTTAAGACACATTATTGTCCATTGTCGTCCGGCGTGCTCCCGACCTTAACCGTACAAAAAAA